CCCATCTTGTTTGACAAAATCAACTCCTAGTCCCCTATAGAACGCATTTGTAAGTGAATCGACTGTTGGGGTTGATAACTTCGTTACTTCTGCCTCTAACTTCTGCTTCTCAGCTATTTTGTCATTCAAAGTTGCCTCTGTTTGTGCAACCTGTTGCTCCAACTCAATCACCTTCTTTGCAGTGCTGAATGTGCTTGTTCTCGTCGAGTTGAACTTGTGACTCCTCTTCGCAATCTGCGCACTGGTCATTTCAATCTCAGCCTCGACCCTCTCTTTCTCCTTAAGCAATTTCTGTATTTCACTCTTTTTGTTTGCATTGCTATTCGTGCTCTGTGCTGCTATCTCCTTTAGTTCCTCCTGCTTCTCCTCGTATTTCCTTCTCAGTCCATCAAAATTCCACCTCCTCAAGGAATCCCTGAGTTGCTGCTGCAATTGCTGAAATGGCATTCTGGGCCCAAAAATGCCCAATAAATTCACATGCGCATACGACAGACTTCTAAGCAAGATCAAGAAGAATGTGCCCACTTCTGATCTATATTACACAACTACTACCATAACGAGTGCATTGAAACAGAAAAAGAAGAGGAAAGAGTTGAAATACGAAATTACTACCTCAAAATACGCAGATTATTTGAACTTGAATAGAAAGACAAGAGAATACTTCAATTCGGTATTGAAACAAGGCAGCAACGACTACTTCATGGATCAGCTAAGCAAAACGTGTTTGAATGGCCTGATAATTGAAGTCAAATTGACTGGTAAGGTGACAGAGGGTATTATAATTCATGAAGGAAGAAACACGGTCTATTTTGTTACAAAAATGAACAAGGTCAAAGAGTTCAACAAGAAGAACAAGAATTTTATTGTAAAGATAGAAAACAGAAGATATTTGATGATTGGAAGCAACCTGAAGCACAATCGTTTCTAATAAACCCAATTATTTCTGTTTTGATATTTCTGCCATTTTCTCAATGTGTTTGTCTGATGGATTATTTCTTTCAGGAATGGTTGCTTTGATTCCAAATGTTCTGTCGAAGTTCTTTTCAATCACACTACACACTTCTGGTGAATCAATTACGTCTGTATCATTGTGTTTAGCCAGAAGAGTTGCTCGCGTGATGATGTCTTGTACCATTTTGTCTGCAAATGACTGTACTCCCTTGATCACATCTTGTTCTAGCTTCTTCTTGCTCATTTTTGATAGTTTTTCAGAAGGAATGAAGTGGCCACCGTTTCTATTGAGATTCTTTTGACTCATTTTAAATAAGGGCAAAATATCTCGCCTTAAATATTATTTAGTTTTGTTGTGTTTGATACAGCACCTCATTCTTCTACAAAACTGTCTTTCTCTGCTTCTTCCACACTTTTAACTGGTTTATTCCTTGTTTCTTTGTGCCTACTGTTCCATTCCTTGGTGAATGCTGCCTTATCCTTCTTATCAACATTTTCTAAGTCACATTTGTAGTATTTGAATAGATTCATCAGGGTCTCTCTTGTGATGCCATTCTGATCAATATAATCTACACACTCAGTAGCACATCCATTCTCCAGCAGTCTACAAGCCTCCTTCACAAATATTTCGATGTATTTCTGTGTATCAGATAAACAGAGATCAGAATCCAATGAAATGCCATGAAGCAGATTTCCAACTACTCGACTTGAACTCATCTTCCCCAGATACTGCGGGAAATCAATTCTTCCTCCAACTGCTACTCGTGTACTCAACACACAGGCAAATAGGCCAAAATACGGCAACAAGGAATAGTTCTGAGACACACCGTGTATCTGTGCATCAATCAGATCACCAAAACTGATATCATCCGATACCTGTGCACACATCTCAATCGTCACGCTTGGGTTCTTCTTCATTCTACCGTATTCAAACGTATCAGCCTTGTTGTATCGTCCATGGACAAAGAGTGGTAGTCTTCAAAAAATAGATCAATCTTTCTGTTGACTGGCATCCTCTTGAATATTTCACTTGCTAATTCAAAGGTGTTTCTTGCCACATCTTTCTTGTCTATGATCAGTTGACGCACATCCTTGATGTCACAGTTCTTCTGCATTGTGTTTATGACATATCGAATATCCTGATTGCATCCTAATACTATTTCAGTTAACACATTTTCAGGCAGATATTTCCCCTCTGTTTTCAAAATTGATTTCAACCTGGGCAGCACCGATGAGATGACTGGCTTCCTGAACTTCACTTCGTTGCAATGGCTCATCAAAGTACGCAGTTTCGGATGTGTCCGATCATTTGCAATGCATATGATTGGTATTGAACTCTCCTTGACTATTTTGATCAATTCTGCTATTCCACCTCGATCTGATGACATCCCATCCACCTCATCCATCACAATCACCCTCTGAATCCCTAGCACTGATCCACCTTCCAACTTGCTTCGTACATTTTTATCCAGGCCCTTCTTGTTTCTCAGATCACTTCCATTGAATTCAATCATTGATATCCCCAACTCGTTGCATAGCACATGCACAGTGGTAGTCTTGCCCAATCCTGGACTCCCGCTAATAAATAACGCCTCACTACTTCCACTCTCCAGAAAGTCTCTTACTTCTCCAATTGCTGTTGGATTTCCAATGATTTCACTTGATTTCTGTGGCCTGTATTTTTCAGCCCAATTCACAAATTCAGCCTGTTTTGTCTCTGCCCCTGTTTCACTCTTTATACTGAAGTCAAATTCACTCTCTTCATTCACCCCAATTTCAATCTTCTCTATGGACGCATATGCATCCTTTTCTGGCTCTATCTTGGTCTCCAATTTACCCATTGCGGTATGAAGTCTTCTCATGAACTGTTCCTCGTCTTCTACCCTAATTCCCAGTTTTTCTGCCTTTTTCACCTTTGATGGGCCTGGCTCATCTCCTGTAACCAAACACGTCGTCTTCCCACTTAGTGCCTTCGTGCATCTTCCGCCTAGTTCAATCACCTTCATTGTAGCCTCGTCTCTCTCCATCTTCATTGTTCCAGTGAACACAAACACCTCTCCCTCAAATGGCTTCTTCAATCGTTTATTTTCCCCTTGTGTCATTCTGGGTTAAATTGTAAATCTCTGATCTATTTTACCCTGCAATAGCTCAAAATGAATATATCATAATGTTTACCAATAAACAAAGTATAAACAAGTTATAAACAAACAGCCCCACATGAACATCCTAGAAAAGTGGGAGAACAGGTTTCTGTTTGTTCCTAAGATTCTCCAAATGGTCGTCTGTCTCCAATACTACACGCTTCACAACCTGAGACACCTTTTTGCAACAGACTTCTTCAAGATATCCATAGCACAATATGGGGAGTTCAATGCCTACATCCAATGCGTCACATTCTTCAGCAACATCTACGTGGGGCTGCTTGCAGACCGTTACGGTAAGCACAAGCAGTTTCTGGTTTCGTTGCTCTTTGCAACCTGTGGAATATTCTCAGTATTCTTTCTGAATGGAATGGTCAAATTTGGAGCATTTATGTTTTGGACTGTCTTGTACGTCTACCAGACATTCAACCTACAAAAGCAGCCACTTCTGGATACGATCATCTTCGACTACCTGGCTGAGAGACCTGATTGCACGCCTGAAGTCTACGGAAGACAGCGAATGTGGGGAACTGTGGCCTATACAATGGCAACATTCATAGTGGAGAATATGGTGACATCTCATCAGGCAGGAAAACCAGTTTACAACTGGAACAACCTGTTGATCTATTCACTGGTGTTCACTGGAATATCCACGCTTTCATTAATCTTTCTGGTTAAGTCAAGTGGGAAAGTCAAGGCACACAAATCAACAACTGGATACCTGACACTCATGAAGAACAAGGACTACGCCTTCTTCATCTTCATCATGTTCATGAATGCGGTGACAAGACAGGCCATGTCGAACTATTTGGGCAACTTCCAGGCACGGGTGCTGCAGATTAGGCCATATTCCCTGCCTAACGCGTGGCCTGGGTGGCTTAAGCCACTAGTGGGCCTATTCAACAACAACTACATCTCGACCATATCGATATTTGGAACATTCTTCGAGATAATGGCCATGTGTTTCTCTGAGCGCATCATCTACTACCTGGGATACTTCAAGCCTCTTCTTCTGGCGCAATTGATGAGTTTGATACGCTTTTATGCATATTATTCAATGGACAAAAATGGTAAGCACGTTTTCGCATTCTCATGCCTAGTGGAACTAATCAAGGGCATCTATTTCGGACTGGCTCATATTTCTGGATTCGTCATTGCAGCACGCTTGGCACCACCGTATCTCGCAGCAACGAGTCAGATGATATTCCAGGGCGTATTCAACGCACTTGGATCAATCGTAAGTGGAAAGGCATTTTCGTATGCATTTGGAAGCAACCTGAAGAAATCAGGAGACTCGGCCTCCAAGGAGGAGATTGCGGCATTCGAGTTGCTGTTTCTGGTCAATATTGCCATTAGCATGTGCACAATTCTGATATTCGTGATAAAATATGGAGTAATCGATGGAGTACTAACAAATCGGGCGAAGGAACAGGAGAAACTGACGTACAACGAAGCAGACTGGGAAACACCAGAAGAGAACACTAGGCATCTGATAGATCAGAATGCATAGTGGACACATAACTGTAAATAAATTTGTAGGTTCATTTAGGCTACAATTTCATGAATTTCTTCGTCAACTCATTTGGCTCGATTTCCACGACTTCTTCAAGCATTGCCTTCTCTTCTGCTATATCTTCAATGAACAGCCTCATCTCTCTGTCCAGCTCCTTTTCAATCTTCATTTTGTATTCTTTCTTCTTGTTATTATATTTCCTCGCCAAAATTACATCCTGTACACTATACTGATCAGCGTACCATTTTCCAACCGTATAATACCCTAATACACAATCATTCTCCTTCAGTTTCATCTCTGTCTCTACTTCGAACGTTCTCTCTTTACTATCGCATAATGTGACATAATTAAGCTTATTCTGTTCATATGAAATCAGTACATCGTATTCAACCAGATCTCCGGATCTTTGTAACTGTTTGAAGTCTAACTCATTTCCGAAATAGTCTCTTCCTCCATACGTCTTTGTCGCTCCTGTCTCCAATTCAGTCACCTCTATCACACTCTTCACTTTCTTAACCAGATACAACTTGTTCTTTATTGCAACCAGATCATCTGTACAGAATGGCAGCAATTCACATGAGAAAGTGCTCTTTTGATTCACAGTGTTGTTGCTCCTATCCTCTGATATCAGTCTGTTACTGTCCTTGCTCTTTATGAAGTAGAAGTTGTTCAGGAATTTTGTGAATTTTACTGCACTATTTCTGCAAGTGAAATAGAAATCAATTCCACTCTTACGCTCTTTGATATTTGACGTATCAAGATGCGCACGATGCATTTTGATCAACAATTCCAAATAGAGAAACGTTCTAGTGCTACTTGGATGCTGTCTCAACTGTACCGCACTATTCCAAAACTGTTTTGATTCTCTACGCATACAGTCACCACATTGTCTGTTTCGTACGACATATTTTAATTCTGTTCGTTGAATGATTCCTTCATTCTCTACTTTAATATCGATCAGAATTGTTTTGCTGTGCTCTTCTGTTTTGATGAATGCAGTATCAACAATGTTGGTATCTTTGATTGTCTTATTCTTCCCAATACAGAACATCAGCAAATCTTGTGATCCCCAGGCGTATTCTCGCCATGATTTTGGTGGAATGTGATATCTCTCGCATCCCCTGCAACTTTCTATTACAGTCGTCTTTCTTATCTTTGATAGGAAGTTTCCTGTATTTATTGTGCACCTATCACACATGTTGCGACTATCTGGCAGAATATCAATTCCACAATTGCAGCACAAAATTACCATGGGTAAAATTTAACAGAAAATATAGGTTGGGCTCGATTGTACGGGCATTCCCATACTTATTAAGAAGTTGTTGTTGAGGTAACTGGGTAGTGATGATAAGACTTTATTCAATCCTGCCGGTCTAGCGTTCGCCCCACACATGTGTATGTTAATTGTTGTATTGACTCACACAATGGGTTATAAATCCCGTTTTCTTTTATAACTAGCTGTCAAATCCATCATTAGTGAAAACTTCTCCTCCGAATTCTGATGAGATGCAAGTTGCGTTAATTGTAACTTACTATTCAATTGAACAGTATTATACAAAATATAGGCCATCATTTTGATCAAAACTTGATTTTTAGAAAATATCCAACCCCATGATATTACATCATATCTTAAATTACATGTTTGGGTGTATTTTAACGGCACAGGCTGTACTGTACTGTGGTAATTGTGGAAAACATGAAACTGATTTATTCAGTAATACATGTTGTAATTGTAAATCCACAGCTTCTTTTTGTTGTGATTGTGTTGACAACCTAGATAAAGATTGCACTGAGTGTGAGCTGGTTGAACTGACCAGTCAAATAAGCATCAATCACGAGAGAGATGATGAAAGGAAAGAAAAAATCAGGGAACCTATTGGAAGACTTGCACAGTCAATATGTTCCACTGGTAATGATAAAACAGAAAAAGTGATGTATACCCAAAAGGGTTCAAAAAGAGTAAGACCAAATCCATCAACAACAAATCAATTAACAATTCAACGACCCCAGGCGATTCAAACATCGGGTAGCTAAATTAAACTGGTATGGATATTGCTAACATTCTCATTTTGTTTCAATTACAGGTGTTTACAATACGATAATTCTGGACTATATCTCAATATTCGTGTTCATTATTACATTGTGTTGTAATCCAAGAAATCAAACATTATAGCTAAGGGTTTATTTTAAAAAGTTCTCTAATCCTCAACACATTGCTATTTATTAGAAATCTTCAGTCTGATAATATGGTATCTTTACAACAGGTAACCGTGTATACAAAATACGATGGAAAGTGACTTGTAAGCCTTTTTATCAATATTTTTGTGTTTATTTAAAGGTTGATCTTCTGCTAACACATTTGATTAATTTGTTTATGCATGTTATGAATCAAATACGTTTCCATTATTTTATTCGCTTGTCTATTTTCTCTATCAACACACTTAAATACCTAAATGTTGTTCTAAGCTTGTGACACTGACATTGCTGGGTATTTAAATAGAGTCTCTTTTTGAGTCGTGATATTTCAAATCTATATTTCCCCATCTTTTCTAGAAATAGAATAAAATCAAACATCTCATGCGCATTATGGATGCAGTAACACCTTGCTTTCAGTCTAATTGGCTTAACATCCATTTTGACCTTATGTAGTTCCATCCAGTGATTTGATTCTTCTTTTTCCTCAATGTTATTCTGTAATCTAAACAAGGGATTTATTCTGGTAATGTTTTCTCTATACCGTGTGACAAGTAACTGCTGTCTGTACGTCAACTTTGTCATGTCTTCTACTTCGTATATTGTAAATGATGAATTTATCTTCTCATGCATTTTCTCATTTTCTTCTCCCATTTATTTATGTCCTTGTTTTAGAAAATTTCCGATTGTTTTCACAGGATGGATCAAGGTATAACATTGAAGCACACTTTCACGTATAATGGGGTTACAGATGCCTACGAAATAACATTTGAACAAGATAAAATAGCCATCAAAAGTGCATCAGGTACAGTGGATGAAATACCATATGAGAAGTTACACAAAATTAAGTACTCTTGTAAGATGCTCAAGCTGGCAATAGAAGGAAAGAAAACGATCAAAATACCAATAACCAAGAAAGAAATGGAAATGTTGGAGAACATTCTGGTAGCCTCTAAAGTAGAAGCAAAGAGAGACAGACCAATTGGAGCAGCACTGGTTTTCTTTGGAGATGAATCTTTCTACATTTCTTTACACTCAATGGATCTGAATGAGTTGAAAAGAGCTATTTTGAGACGTATTTCACAGGTATTTTATCCAGCTATTGGATGCGACAATGTTGACCTGGATAACTTCAAAAACTTCAAGTTCTACGCTAAACACGACATAAACTCCTCAATTATAGAGAGTGAAACAGACCTGGAAGCTGCACTTGTATTTCACTCGAATAAGCTAATTATACAGGTGGTACTGAATAAATGATTGATTTCATAGCTATACCTTGACACCTAAACAATGTTTCTAAGTCAGTACTCTCATCTGTTATAAAATAAAGTTCTAAACCCGCCAATCTCGTGTATTATCTATTTATTGGGAATATTTCAACTTAAATTTGCATCACAGATCAACATAATCATTGAAGTATAGTAGCATACAATATGCACAAACAAGTATATACACTGGATATAATAGTACAACCACGCTAATCAATTCCAAAATCCATCTAGAATGAAATCCCTGAATAAAAAAAGAAGAATTTCAAATAAAATATCGTAGATGTCTAATTTGTAGTAACAAACATGGCTGTTACAAACTGACGTCTTAACATTATCCATCACGGGGTTAACCCCTTCACTAAGAAAAAACTCAAGACTTAATTTGTTACACAGAGACATGATCACTGGTTAAGAAAATATGATAGAGTATAACACACATAATCAGGTACAACCTAACAGGATGCCATAGTACGACAGTTATTCATCAACATTAATATTGATCTGAAATGAAATTCCTGAGCATAAAAGGAGAACCTTAAATAAAACTCATCGATGTCTAAATCGTTTTCAAGTTCATCTCCCGTTCTGAGCGATAGCTGTCAATGTACAGAGTCTCTGTTTAAATAATCGGATTTTAATATAAATGTCAATTGAAACCCTATAATTATTTTTAATCAAGAACCCCAAAATGATAAAGGATCAAACAAAAAACACACATGAAGTAAAAGAAAACCAAGATACTAAGAAGAAGACAAAAAAGATCATCATTGGAATATGTGCTGTGATATTTGTAACTCTGATGATAGTTGTGATAAAAATGAATGTTGGACCAAAAAAACGAGGAAAAGATGAAAAACTTACGACAAAAAAGAAACCCATTGAATCCAGTAAAAAGCCACCCCATGAATCATCGGAACCAAAAACACCAGAAGAATCAAGTGACTATATTCCAACAGAGTCTACAGAAGAAGAAGTTGTTGTGATTGATTCCAAGAAAATAGGTAAGCATCTTGGCTCTGGAGGAACAAAAAGAGTCTTTCAATATGATAAGAAACAGGCAATAGCCTTCTTACCTGAACAATGGGCTAGGACAGAGATGCATGTGATAAGGAGATTGAAGAAAATGGGATTAGAAACACAGAATTCACAAATAGGCAAATTGGAAGAGGATGGTAAAGTACGCTGGGCATTGATANTTGGCTCTGGAGGAACAAAAAGAGTCTTTCAATATGATAAGAAACAGGCAATAGCCTTCTTACCTGAACAATGGGCTAGGACAGAGATGCATGTGATAAGGAGATTGAAGAAAATGGGATTAGAAACACAGAATTCACAAATAGGCAAATTGGAAGAGGATGGTAAAGTACGCTGGGCATTGATAATGGAGAGTTGGGATGCAATGGAAGAAAGAGGAATACAAGTTCGAGACAGTAAGAATCTTGAATCAAGATATGGAACATCAATGTTATTTGGTAGTGCAGAAAACGTGAATGCGGAAAATATGCTGAAGATATTACGATCACTTGCAGAAGATGCATTCAAATTGATAACAAATGGAATGTGTTTTGGACCTGATGCCTACAACCTTATGATAAAGGACACGAATCAAACTGATATAACCGATAGAAAAGACTACAAAGTCTATACAGAAAGGAATCAGGAAATCAGGTTCTTTTTCAGTGATTTTACGACACTTGATAAGTTTGATGATTGGCGACGCAATATTTTGAAGCAAATGATAATGGTAGGGAGCTCAAGTAAGTCATCAGATGGATTCAGGTTACTCGAGATGTCTATAGAAGATTACACAACACGTGTGTTTGAGTGGAGTAGCGATAAATGCATCGGTTACGCAATGTTAAAACACGAATTGGATTTGATTGCACCACCAGACAAAAATCGATATCAGTTCACTTTATTTGATAAAGTGATCAAAGAAGCAAAGACTACAGTTAAGAGTGAACTATATACCAGAGTTTGTGACTATTTCAAGTTGCAAATAACAGAAAATAAAAGATTCAGGAGGTTCTTGCTCACTGCACCAAAGGATACTGAATAAAGACGATTGATAGAATTTTAAATTATCATTTTATTGATGTATTACAGGGGTGGCCAAAAGTTTGTGCTCCGTTGGCCAAATTGCCGCTCCGTGCAAGGAATCACTATCTTAGAAAAAAACTAGTAATTGATCATCTTCATCAATCGCTACACTCCGTTGCAAAAGTTTGTGGACAGCCATATATATTCTGTCCTGACATAACAGACTATGAAACTTAGGTATTCATGTTCAAACATTATACATTAAATATAAACAAACCTATCTAGATGTGCATTTATTGATCCATTAGTTTTTAAAGGGTTGTCAAAAAAGATTAATATTTTGTTGCAAAAGTGTATTGACCTTCTATTTCATCTTCTGTACATTAATGGCAACCGCAATAAACTTCTTATTTAATTTTTATAAGACAAAACTGCTTGTTAAGGTGTTAAAGCTCGTTTCCTCGGTGACGTCGGGATCGAGAGGTGTCATGGTGTCTGACACCTCTTCAGGAGCTTTAATGTAAATACTCTTAGCTTGATCTTTCTTAGCTCTAGTCATTTATTGAGGTACCCTCCTTTGCATATTTTCCTTAAATAGCCAGTTATGGAGGGATCACTGATCATCATGCTCAGGCATGTTGCCAGTGTCATATTCAAGGTGTATTATTATACTCCTTGTTCATGGATCACTAACGTGATCCTTTTACGTAAACTAGTCTGGTTGTTCATCTGGTGCTAGTGGACCAGGTACTTTGAGTCTTATTAGTGGCCTGATCGTCCACATAAGGCATGTTGAATTGTATTCTAACCTTCTTGGACGACCACTGTCAACAAATCATTTTGATCAACTTTTTTTTATTCATAATGAACCTTTCTGACAATGCATTAGCTCATTTCCTCATTAGAATTATGTTTGACAAGTTAATAGTCCTGTTGAGTACCCCAATACCTCATCTACTCCACACTTACTGCTCTTTTTGTCTGTTTGAACTAAGGCAATATTTTTTAGTAAATCAAATAGTGATCAGCAGATCACATGTACCTAAAAGATATTCTTTTAATTAGCCTAATACAGTTGCAAGAGATGATTATAACATCAATAAGTTCCAAATAGAGCTTACCTGAAATTGTTAGACAGAAAAAAACAATATTCAAATTTTATTCCATTATTGAGGTTGATAAAATCTTCTTACTCATCAATTGTATGCGGGTTGTCCTGCACATCTTCGTTTTTAAGCAATTTAAACCTCTTCACATCATTCCAGATATTTTCCTTTCTTTATACAGTTTAATTAGCATGTTTTTATGTGATCGTTTCGGAGCTTAAGGTTTTTTGACATTTAATAGTGTTAACACAAGCATTATAATTCATTTAGAGCAGCTCACACCTACTACAACACAATAAACACTCGTTTTATATATATTTGCATATGTTTCTCATGCTATACCCCTCTTGAGCATGATTTCTAGAGAAATGAACCTGATCATTAAATGAAATATTTACTCCAACAGCCTTTTTGAATGCTCAGAACACACCAAGGTGTCTTTAACAGGGTTTATAGCCTCTATAACATACATTGCAGCTATTTATATGTTCGTGTCGTGGTAGATCATTATGAAGTTGTGTTTAGTTTGATCACTATTAAAGTGATCTCTTGTTCAACCTTTAGAAATGCTTTTCCACCTGATAGGTTTTTAGACACGTTAAACATTAAAATAAGCATGGAATTTTGTGCCCGCTTATTAATATTGCTGTTGTAGCGTTGTCCACAAATTTTTGCAACAAGAATTTAAATCATTTTTGGAAATTAGTCCCTATCTGTTCAACCATCAAACCATTTGAGTTCAGATAAAAAGAAACAGCAAAGAGTAACGTAAAAGTGTATCCTGTAACATAATAGCCGTAAAAGAGAGTATACCAAGAAGTTTATGGCTGTCCACAAACTTTTGTAACGGAGTGTATCTTCCAACTATGAATATCCTTATTGATCTCACTTCAACCATTCTGTGTTTCTGCTTATTCTTCATAGTTAAATCTTGTATAATTTTCATAGATTTTTAGTCACCTGAATCAGGGATAGTTAAATAACCTGAAATCACCATGTGTTGTGTTTTCACTAAATTTACCCCTAATTATGACAATGGGAGACAACAACTCACACTTAATTAAACAAGACAACGACAAACAAGACTGTTTTATGAGCTATCACAACACCATGTTTTTGTTTGTTTATTTCCGCCAAAAACATCAGAAATACAACAAACTTGCCTTTAGTTGTCTTCAAATACCCTGTTTATGACATTCATAGTCTCTGTGCTCTCTAACACAGCTGTTGTTTTTATTTTTAATAATTTCTAATTCAGTTGAATAAGTCTGATAGGCATATTTTGTTGCTAATAACATTTTTGCATACAAACACATGGTATGGTAACTTATTTGATACATACAAGACGTATAACCTGTTATTTCTTGTCTTTCTGTTCGTTTTGACATCCAATTAGTTCTTATAGAATCAAATTGAAACAGCAATAACGCCCTCTATTTTAGGACTTAATGTCTGTGGTTGGCTAGTCCGGTACGTCTATTGTTTAGGTGTGTTTCGAACAACGATTTGTTCGAGTAATTTAACGCAGTCTTTATTCTCTGCGTCTGAAAGATAGGTAAATTTTTAGAGGGAATAACACCCTTTTTATTAGTGGTGGTTCTAGCACCCACAATGTCATCAGAGATTTCCAAAGCACTACTTTCAAATCCTCCTCTAACACGCTTGCTCGGAACGGGAGATGAACTTGAAAACGATTTAGACATCGATGGGTTTTATTTAAAATTTTCCTTTTATACTCAGGAATTTCATTTCAGATCAATCTTAGTGTTGATGAATAACGGTCGTACTATGACATCCTGTTCGCATGTACCTGATTGTGTGGGTTCTACGCTGTCGTATTTTCTTAATCAGTGATCATGCTTGTGTGTGCAGCAAATTAAGTCTTGAGTTTTTTCTTAGTGAAGGGGTTAAATCCGTGATGGGTAATGTTAAAACTTCAGTTTGTAACAACGCTATTGTCTTAAGATCCCCAATCTTTAATATTTTCGCTGTTTCTCAATCTCGCGCATGTTATTCCCTTCTAGACGCAGCTAAAACACGAATATTTGTTTTGGTCGTGTCTTCACATACTCTTTTTCAATAAAATTACTTCTCGTTGTAATTATCCTAGTGGCAAAATCACCTTGAAACGTAATCATATTTTTTCAATTTTCAAACCTAAAATTAGGAATAAAATAAGGTTTTCGTTTTGTACAGTATTGTCGTAAGGTTTAAAAGTATGAGAACAAATATCATGATACAGGGATTAAAATGCTTCAAATGTCGCTTTTCCCACTAGAAATGCCTAATAAAAAAGTATAGGTAAATTGGCCACGTTTGGACACACCTGTTCTAGTCCTTTATTGAGGTACACTCCTTTATATATTTCCTTTAAATAGCCAGTGATGGAGAGATCACTGATCATCATACACAGGCATGATGCCAGTGTCATAATCAAGGTGTATGATTTCACTCCTTGTACATTGATCACTAACGTGATCCTTTTACGTAAACTAGTCTGATTGTTCATCTTGTACCAGTGGACCAGATACTTTGAGTCTTATTAGTGGCCTGATTGTCCACAATTCTCCTACTGATTCATCATATTACTCCTTTTCCTATTTATATACTCCATTTCCCTACCCCTGTAATATGATCAAAACAGCTTTGTACGTATTACTCAACTTGTTTGTTCTAGCATCAGAAGAGAAAAAGGAAAGCGAGCCCGGTAAAGTAGAACCATCTGAAGAACCAAGTACATCAGAAAAACTGCAGCAGTTCCAGAACCAAAAGAAGCAGCACCACCACTACCAAGACGGTCACAAAGAAAAAAGAAAGGTAATCCACCACAGAAGGAGCAACCTAACCAATAAACTATTGTAAACAACCCCATCCCATTTAGCTACCACACTTTCAACACCATTTCATTTACTCTATAAACTAAATCATACTTAAATTCTCCTTCAATTCCTCAATACCAGTGCTAATCTTCAACACCTGCAATATCTCATCAAATGAGTCCTGTTTCTCTTTCAGTGTCTTCAACACCAAGTCACGTCCCTCATCAGTGCTGATGACTCCGTCACAATTCTCCTCCTTGCAAACAAACCTGATTAATTCACCATGATCAATGCCCCTGAGTTCAACTCTCAACACATTCTTTATTTTGCTATTGATCAGAATGAACTTGAAACAGTCGAACTCACTGGCGTACTTCCTGATGACTTCTTCTGATACCCCATCCAAATCACCACTGGTGCAATCAACACAAATCAGTGCATTTCGTATTTCACCTGGTTTCTCTTTGATGAATTCAGTTGCCTTCTCCTTGCTCCCATACGATAGATCAATATCCTTCAATGTGACTGTAATCTCCTTCTCCTTGCGCTTATTGACACGTCCCTTTGGAACATGCACGTATCTGCCACCCTCTAAGTCGTGTTCATTCACCTTGTTCTCACTTCGCCCAGTCTTCTTCACTACCCCCAGACTTGGCTCACAGTAAACTACGTCTCCTATGCGAATCAACTCAATTTGCCCTACCAAATAACTTGGTAGAGAAATCTTCTTCGTCTCCTTCGTACTCATTAAGCTTATTTCGTATACATCCCCAAGATGCCTTATTTCAGTCACTTCTCCCTCATACGCATTCTTAGTCACTTTATAGGTGACATTAAGGCTGTTTCTAACACATTCTTCAAGACTGTCTCTACTGGTAGCCACGTAGTCAAATTGAAGCTGTTTAAGAAGGTGTCTCACGTAGTAAGGAGTCTCAGAGACAACGTTGATGACTCTACACTCTCCATTGCCAGCAACAAATCGACCAATCAAGGCACATGCAGCCTCATTTTGTGGAATACGCAATGAGTTGTTTCCCTCCTGTTCCATTGGGGATCAAACTATTTTTCATAGAAGCAGGGATCCACGACATCAAATTCAGCCGTCGTGAGATCCTCCACAATCTTCCCATTGATCTCCCTGTTCTCGTCGTCCTTGAAGAGCACCAGTCCCCAGTCTTCGTAGAACTCGGTCTGATCCTCCTTATGTGCTATATCCAGGATGTATTTGACCAGACTCCTCTGATAGAGCAGAAATGGCAGGCGCTTGATTGCAAATGCAGCATCAGCTGGATCACCTTTGTACGCATCCACAATTTTCTGGTACAATCCACTATCAATGAAGATGACGTCATTCTCCATGTATTGCTTACACGCAATTGCAAGGGAGTAGACATCGGTGTCCTTGTTGGTGACTTTCTCGTTTCTCTTTATTTTGTCCAAATATTCGCGTATTTTGTCCGAGTTGCCTCCTTCCCAAAAGAGACGATCTGGCTCCTGGTCCTCGCTTTCGGCAAAGTTCTCGTCGATGAGTTCCAGGTTGTCGGATAGGGCTGTTGGAGCAGGCGCAGATGCATTTGGAAGGAACGAGGAGCAGACCCAGCGGCAGAACAAGCAGCACTGGTTGTTCAGTAGCACATTTTGTTCTACTATCTGCGCATGAAGTCTAGCAATAAGCTTATCCTGTTCCATTGGACTCAAACTCAGAAAGTAGATTGCATCATCGTTGTGCTCTGCCTTTGGCTCATCTGCCTGCTTCTTTCCCAGCTCCCCGTACTTGTCATCGTCCTTCTTTCCACTCTGCTCCCTTGACATCTCAGTACTCGTTGTTTCGTGTTGACTCATTGCTAATTTATGTCATGTATTTTTATACTAAATTCAACCAATGATTTTATAGGCTGAGACTGGTAATAGTTGTAGGGTTAGTTAGGGAGTAGAATAAGTCACCCTCGTAATATAGTTGTTATTCACCCCTGTATAATTGGCATACTCTTTTAGTTATTGATTCAACTAATTGGTCAATTCTCTTGGCTTATTCTGTTTTGTGTACAAGTAGTAAATTAGGACACAAATTGAGATGATTCCAAGGATCATCACGACTGGAGACGACTTCTGCTGCTCACTTGGCACGAATGTCTCCTCAATTCCACGCATCGCAGACCCAAAGAGAGAGAAGACCCTGAGCACAGTCTGGGATCCACCAGTGTGTGCGCTGGCACCCAGGACGAATGTTGGCTCCACGTTCGTGCTTCCAGCCCAAAGCAGCTCCTTCTTGTTCGATTTGCTGCTTTTGTAGAGAACCCTCAGATTTGGATGCTGATTCTCAAATATGATCACATGTGATCCAGTTGGGTCCTTGAGCGTGATCTTCTTGCTCCGCTGATTGTTGCTGTTCATAAATTGGACGTAAGGAGTCCCCTTGGTGCTCACACACACCCCGTATCCCTTGTAGTCCTTGTTTCTGCCGTAGAATCCACCTGAAGTCAGTTTGGAGCTGACCCAGAATCCAAACCCATTTCCGCCTTTCTGTACGCTGTCCAGCGTGAAATAGATCTCAAACTTGAAGTTCTTCTTCTTGAATGGCTCCCTCGTCTGAACAATGCCATTTGACTGTGATGTGTAGTAGCCAAGTTGGATGAAATTGGAGTATCCCTTGCATGAAACAACGTAGTCTCCATCATACACGAATGTGTCATTCTTGCCGTTCTCATTCACGAATGGCTCTATCAGGGTGATTCTGTTCATTGCCCTGTACGCTCCAGCTGCCTTGCAGTCTACGCCATTTGTTAGGAGCAGAATGTTAGGGAAAATGTTCATTGGGGTTAAATAAATCAGGTGAAGTGAATTGGCCCAAATTCAATTTGACTACTCTGAAACTGGTAGAGGTAGAAACTCAGGTGAAGTAGCACGTGGCCTGGTTCTGAAGTAGCGGTGATTCAGTGCATCGTCTACGCTGATTCTCCTTCCTGGATCAAATTGGAGCAGATCTCTGAGCAGATCCAGGGCATCATCAGATACGGCCGTGAATATTCCTCGTAGACTCGTTTGTGGATAATACTTGATTTTGATCATTTCAGTCTGTTTGGTGAAGTACGAATAGTCCACTGGTGTACCAAGTACCCTACAAATCGTATCCAACTGCTGAATATCAGTCTCAGCCGCAAATAGGGGCACTCTCAAGAGCATCTCGGCCATGATGCATCCAACAGACCACATGTCTCCTGCCATCGTGTACTGCGTCTGCCCCAGCAGCATCTCCGGTGCCCTGTACCACCTGGTGACTGCATTTGGCGTCATCTTCTCAGTGATCTTTCTACTCAGCCCAAAATCAGCTATTTTCAAGTCACCTCTTTTGGTGATCAACAGGTTGTTTGGCTTTATGTCCCTGTGCATCACAAACTCATCGTGCATCTCCTTCAGCCCACACAGGAGCATGTACATCCAGCTCTTGATGTCTGATGGCATTATCACTATGTTCTTGCACCTGATCACCTCTTCCATGTTGTAATCAACGTACTCCAAAACAAGGTGGATTTCACCCTGGTACTCAAATGCCCCATGCATCCTGAGCAAATAGTCGTTCTTGAAGCATTTCAGGATCTTGATCTCTCGTATCGCGTTGACCTCGATTCCACAGCCATGTGGCGTCCTCTTTATCCTCTTTATGGCCACCATTTTCGTGTAGTCTCCACCTGGGTCTGTCCTCGTGAATCCATTTGATACAAATGGATCTGTCTTCTTCCGACACTCCTTTGCCAGGTAGATCGTGGCGTACGTTCCCTCTCCAAGTTTCCTGACTTTGAAATATTCGGGCATCTGGGCACATTTTTGCTCTTTCTTTCTGCCTGAAAACAGCAACTTTCTGCCCTTCAACTTTTTCCAAATTTTTATCCCAAGATGTCTCGTAAGAAACAACAGAAGAGCGGACTTGCATCGCAGCTGCCACTTGCAATCAAGACGGGGAAGTACGTGGTTGGATTCAACCAGACTCTCAAGTCAATCATCCACGAGAAGGCACACTGTGTGATTCTGGCTGATAACATTCCAGAGCACATGCGTCGAAGAATAGAGTACTACTGCGTCCTAGCAAACAATACGCCAATTGAGTACTTTCCAGGAGACAATAACGCCCTGAATCTGCTAGCAGGCGTAAGTAAGAGGTGCTCTGTGATTTCAGTGCTGGAACAGGGTGAGGCTGATTTTGCTGAGAATAAAGCATAAATATTGAATTAAGCTTATTCATTCCTGTTTGAGTTTTAGAGAGGTCTTTGGCTTCAAGTGCTGTTTGATGTGCTCAATACGCTCAATTGGAGACGGATGCGTCCTGTTAATGAGCGAATAGAGGGGACATATCTTCAGAGTGGATCCGTTCTTGACAACCAGCACCTTCAGGGCACCAATCAGGTCAGAGGCAAATCCCAGTTTCACGGCGAATGCGTCTGCTCGTCTCTCAAAGAAGCGGCAGAACGAGTTGAAGACTGCCTTGTAGAGGAGCAATGCTGGCCCAGAATAGACCATGAAGACGTACAGGCAGATTCCAGTAGGCAACTTGTATCGTTCACAGAATCTGTTGAATGCATAAAGGATGCCTGTAAAAATGACATTATTCAGTCCCAACATGCAGAGAGTGTCTCCATTCTTGTAGTGACCGAATTCGTGGCCTAGAACAGCCAATATCTGCCTATCACTGGTCATCTGCGTCAGTAACGTGTCGTAGAACACAATTCGCTTTGTTTTTCCCAATCCAGTGAAATACGCATTTGAGTGGCCTGATCTCTTTGATCCATCCATCGTGTAGATCGATCCAACCTGGAAATCAACCTGCTTTGCCAGGCTGATGATGCTCTTGTAGAGCTGACTCTCCTTGTCCATTGGCGTAAACTTGTTGAAAATTGGTGCTATTGCAATTGGGTAGATCCAGAACATGAATAACTTGAATAGGACCATGAAAATGGCGATGTAGAGCCAGAATGACCTGAACTTCTCAATCAACTTGAAACAGACGCTATACGCGAATACACTGATCACTGACATGATGAGTGTGGTGAAAATGAGATCAGTGATCCAGGTAGCAAGGGTCTTCTTGTTGTAGCCAAACTGCTCTTCAAGGACGAAGTCGCTGTAGAGGGTGAATGGGATGCTTGCGACCATTTCAATGAGAAACAGCTTCAGAAAGAACAGCGTATCGTCACCAATGAAGCTGATTGTCATTCGTGAATAAATCTTGCCTATGAAGCATAAAACAGCTATGTCCTTAACAAAAACACCAAAGTTCCTTACGATCGCAAACTTCATCTTTGCCCTTTCGTATTCGGATGCCTTGTTGAGCTCTTCCTCGCTCAGAACCTCGCGCATCTCCTCTGTTGTTGGACGACTCTGCCAAATGTGTTGCATTGCACAAATGAGGTTGTCCAATACCACTGCCACTATCATGCAAATTAGACAGGTTAGAAACACATTTTCCATGGGTAAAAATTGACTACTCTTAATCAGGTGATATTTCACCTATCAAACCCCCTAAACATCTTTTTGCCTGTTTTCTTCAATCTGCTGATTATCTGGTCATTTTTCAACTTCAGCCCTGGCTTATTCTCTCCTGATTCCTGTCCTACTCCACATACCACACTTCTGTCTCCCACAAATGTGGCATTCTCCTCCTTTTCACGAGAATCAGCCAAATCCATTTCTTCTATTTCACTGCTTTCCTCACTCTCGCTCTCAATCTTCTCCAATTCCCCACCATCTGTTCCATTCTGTCTCACTCTCCTTGTTCCATCAAATCTCCTGTACACCTCTTTCTCCAACTGCTCTACTTCCCTCTTCTCTTCATCCAAATCATTCTTCAATAATTCATAATTCACACCCTGATCAATATTCCCCTCATCTCCGTCTATGAAATCATCCAACTCCTCCTTCCCAATCTCATCAGCCTCCTCTGTCTCATCCTCACCCGAATACTCTGCCTCCATATCCACAAATCCCCTACTTTTCCTCCTTGGCCTCAGATTCTCCTTCTCATCTGAGTATTCCACCCTTGTTATTTTATTAGTCATTTTCACCCTGTTTGATTCTACGGCTGATTCCTCTGATTCTACACCGATTTCATCAATTTCGTAGTTATCCCTGTTGTAGTAGAATAACTCGATTCCATCCTCCACATTCTGGTCAAACATCCTCGCCCTCACATTCTGCTGCACCTTCTTTATCTCAAATTCCTTCTGTACTTCCAGTCTGCCTTTCAAGTACTCTTTTATTCCTACTGCAATATTCTTAGTCTTGTTCAATCTGCAACTTGAAATTACATTTGCTCCAACATCCTCGTAGATATCACTTGTTTGGTTAACCATCTCACTCTCTGATACACTCTCCTTGTAGTTGAACTCCCTCACGTCCTCATTGATATTTTTATTCTCCATTATCAGGGCTCTATTCCTGTTATTTGCTATCTTATGCATTTATTCCTTTTACCACCCTGAAATGTCAGTAGAAAAACAGTCTGACAATCTCCCAATCACAGTATTCTTCAAGCACAATGGGAAAATAGCAGAGACAAGGGCAGAAAGAGGCAAGACACTGCTGGAGATAGCACACGATAACGAGATACCGCTGGAAGGAGCATGTGAGGGCAGCTTGGCCTGTTCCACGTGTCACGTCTACTGTCCAAGGGAGCTGTTTAAAAATGATCCATTTTTTGCTAAGGAAATATCAGATAAGGAGAATGATCTGCTAGATAAGGCGTATAGGGTACGAGAAAACAGCAGATTGGGGTGTCAGATAAAAGCAAATGACAAGCTGAACAATATGACATTTGAGATACCAAAGGCAACTGTGAACATGGCAGTTGATGGACACGTTCCAAAGCCACATTGAAGAATGTGAATCAATTCAGTTACAGGCTCATTTCAGCAAAGATGACACTTCCCATTCTCATCAATAGAACTGTAAGCAGCCCAAATACCACTTTGAGCCCAATATTAAACAGATCCTCTTTCATGCAATATGTGAATAGTTTGATTCTTAGTGCATAATAGACCAATTTGTGGGCCAGGAAGACTGGCTTATTGATGAATTTCCTGATTTCGAATAAATTGCGAGGGCATCCCTTTCCATCAAACAGAAGAGTCACAATTGAATAGAGCAGCTCAAGGTCGTTGCTTGGTGCCATTGCATAGCATCCCAATGCATGCTCGTACGACTGTTCAATACCAAATCCCCTGGAATAGCAATTTCCAAGCTCCTTGTAAAACTTCTTGTTTTTCTGAGACAGGTGCTTCACTGAATCAAAATAGGCCACTTTCACCAGATCACCAAGTTGATCAACCAACTCTTTCTCGTGCTTCTTCACCAAATACACAACATTCATGTGGGCATTCTCCACGTCATATTCTGATATGTACAAATAGATCAGAAATGCCTTGGCATAATTGCATTTTGAATACGCCTCAGATGCCATTTTACACATTTCCATGATATGTGGATGGTATTTCAGTACAGAAAGGATGCTCTTCGTGTTGTTGGTTGTGATTTCCGCATTCTTCTTGAGCAGCTTCTCGTACCACGTGACCATTGCTGGAATATACCCTTTCAATGCTGTTTGGGCTATGAGTGTGTCATTTCCAGTCAAATTTGCCAACAGAAATGCGCTTTCTGAGGTCTCCTTCAAATTCAACGACTTCTCGTAGTACAATTGTGCTGCCTCATTATCTTCATAGACAAATTGCATTATTTTGCCCAAACCAGTGAAACATTCAGCATTCTTCTTGTCTGATCCAGCCCAATAGTAGTCCATTGCCTTGTCTACGTCATTCCCTTCTTCTGTGTCAATCAGGTTGTAATACTCTATGTCTCCCAGTATCACGTATGCCTTAGGCTCAAATGGTGCAATCTTCTCCAAATGCTCCTTTGCTTCTTTTAGGCTGATTTCGCCTGAATCAACGTACTTGAAGAACTCACCTATGATCTCCGAATCGCATGTCTCAAGCAGTCGTAGCACATCCTTGATCGAATACTCCCCCTTTGTCATAGCCAGCCTGTCTTTTGTTTCAAGCAATGCTATTTCATCAAACTTATATTTGTTCATCTTGAATTTATGCATGATGCCCTTAGCCACATTCATTGCAGTCTTGTAGAGATTCCGTCTGCTCAGAACGTGCTCATCTGAGTTGTTGTCGATGCTTGATACTGACAATCTACACAGCAACAGTTGCTGTATCTCAGATGGCTTCTGTGTGAACAGATAGCTGTGAGCATCGAGCTGTGAATTCATGAATCTCCTGTAGAACCAGAATTTGAATGGGCTGAATGAGTCATTCTCCACTGTCAGTTGATACGCCTTATTCATGTCGTACTCGTCCACAATTGCCCTGAATAGTTCAGTGTCAGCGTAGTTTTCTAGATTCCCATTTGCAAACATACCAGTTAGAAAGTTATTCAAGTTCATTGGGGTTGAAAAGCTACCAGAAATATCAGGAGAGAAAGATGGTCTATAGAAGAGTGTGAGATATCAGATAGAGAAACAAGAGAGTTGATTCAGTCAAAATGAGGAATCGGCCACTTAAGTCAATTTAAGCTTATTTTACCCATATTTCATGCAAAATAAACAAGGTGGGAAATTCGTATACGATGGAAAGCGAATTCAGCCGATTTACGAGCGTTACGCTGTTGATTTCAACATGCCATACATATATTCCAGGTTCAATGGTACAGCAGACCCATTTCCAATTGATAGCAATTTGGATGTCACGTCTCAGTTGATTCAGATGCGTCCAGCCAGTGAAATGCATCCACGTGAATCAGCCTGCACTCGTTACGTCCAATATTGTATCAATAAGATCAGATCGCCTGTCTGTAGCCTTTGTTGGTTTCCAGATGGGAAGAAGGTGCTCACTGGTCTCCAGTCTGGTGAAATCACAATGTGGAATGGAGTCACATTCAACTTTGATACAATTCTTCAGGCCCATTCCCAGGCAATCAAATCGATGAAATGGTCTCGAAACAACAGGCTTCTTCTCACAGGCGATGCCAGTGGAGTTGTGAAGTACTGGAACACGGCCATGAACAACCTGAATGAGGTCGAGGTCCATCAGTCACCGATCAAGGACATCTCATTCTCACACGATGATTCGAAGTTCTGTACGGCCTGTGACGATGCTACTATCAAAATTGTGGACGTGTTTGAGTCTGAAGTAGAACGAACTCTCAGAGGACACAACTGGGACGTGAGAAAGGCGCAATTCCACGAATCAATGGCTCTGATTGCTTCTGGTGGAAAGGACAATCTTCTGAAACTGTGGGATCCAAGAGAGTCAGCCTGTTTGAGCACATTTCACTATCACAAGAATACGATACTGAGCATGTCCTTCTTCAAAGAAAACTACCTGCTTTCTGGTGGAAAGGATCAGGTGGTGAAGATGCTTGATCTGAGAATGATGAAGGAGTGTTTCACGTACAAGGACACTGGTGATGTCACTGCTTTGAATGTGAGTAGCAATTTGATATTTTCTGGTAACGGCCTAGGTGAAATCAACTATTGGGAGGAATTCAACGATGAGATCATTGCGACGAGTGAGAGACGCCACGATAACACCGTCTGGTTCGTGGAGATGCATCCATCTGGTCATTGTTTGGTTTCAGGTGCTGCTGATTACACAATTCGATTTTGGATCAGACCAAGGCAGCAAAACAAGGAAGAAGAGAAAGAGACACAAAAAGAAGAAGGGGGAACAGCAATACCAGGATTACTACTGTAATTAATAAGGTAAGAAGTTGTGATGAGATTATTTAGGTAGTTCGATGCTATCAATTTGATGGGGTGTCTGACTCAACTGGTTCACTTTGTTGATTTGGTTCAGTCTGTTGATTTGACTGATCCGGTTGATTTGGTTCTATAATAGTCCGTTCTATAATAGTTCTTTCTTCAACGGGCCTTTCTTCAACCCGTTCACATTTCTGTATGTTCCTGAATGTGTGTATCACTCCAATCACAAGCACAGCCAGAGAGATGATCAAAACAAGCAGTGTCATCACCAACACAGTCAGGTGCATGTTATTCGACAACGGTGGCGTCACAGATCGACTCCTTTTACTCAGACTCAGTGGTTCGAATCTCAGTGTCGTATCTTTTATTTTGACAATAAAGAGTGGCGTGATTCTTGATTTCATTTCCTTGCTATCCAATGCTTCGCAGTAGGCGTAGAAGACATTTTTATCAAATTTGATGGAGTCGTTCAGCTTCTTATGGATCTTATCAACTGAGAGCACCATTTTGTCACTGATCTTGAATTTGGATGTATCAAATCGAGTTGGCTTATTCTCACTCGGATCGAACTGTGCTTCAGACAGTCTGGTGATTATCAAATCAACCAATGGGGCAGATTGTCCAGCACTCTTTTTGTCTATTTCTATTTTACTGATTGTTTCCCTATAAAATGGCTTATCCAAATCAGTGGTGAAATCATCTGGGTTGGTTAATCTGTTCAATCTCTTGAATTCTGCGCTATTTCTCACCTGTGTCTCAATATTATCAGCAGTTAGCTTCTCAATGGAACTGTATTCAAACACATCACTTGATGTTAGACTTGGAGATACAACCACTTTGGTGAATGGGAATGGACATGCAATGAAGTCATTGCCTTGTTTGATTGCAATAATGCTACTCTCTTCCTGATTTATATCTGATGCGTATTCATTGAAGATGTTTTTAGAAGAATAGATTTGTTGTATAACCAGAAATATTAAATGCATGGGTATAAAATAGGTGTTTGATGATTAAGGAGTGCATCAATACATTTGTTGCATGGAAAGCATTTAATATGTTTCAGGCTACATTTTTGTTTACAAACAAAGTATAAAACAAACAGATTGAGATAACACAGTCTCTTTATGAGTAAATCCAATAATTTAGGTTAGATTCGTCAGTAATAAAAGTGTAAAACCACCAGAAACCATTCAATTTATTATGGTGTAACTACTTGGGGGTTATTGTTCTCTTTCTTACGCCTTATGCATCTGCATATCATGTATACAATAAGCATGAGAATTACAAATCGTGCAATTACCACACCCCAGTTAACTGATTTCTTTTCTTCCGGTTTCATACTCCTTTTCCTGGGTTTTATTCTAGTTGTTCTAGATGGTTTTGTAGGAGTAGTTGGCTTTGTTGAAGTAGGTGGCTTACATACTGGCACATAAATAAAATCCAATGCGTTATTGAGCATAGTGAATACGTTTGTTGTCTTTGTGAACTCCATTATCACACTCTTTTGCTCAACATCATCATCTTTAAATGTGAGGTACATAGTTATGTTCCCATACTTGTTGATCATATCATCATACGCCTTTTGCAGAAGCTCTTTAATATTCCAGAACGGTGCCATTTTTGAATTAAAATCGAAGATTGCATCTATTCTATTCTTCCTTGTCAAATCGAAGAAGTCGTTTGGCGTGGCTTTGATGAATTGGTAGATTTGATACCAAATGTGCGTTGGTAGGTTGTCATAGTGACTACTCCATTTATCCTTTTCCATTTTCCCCATTGCTGCCTTCCTTAGAGCATCAATCTGATCTTTTTTGACATTCGTTAAGTACGCCCTTACCTCCTTATTTTGACCAGGATCAATTTTTCTATCAAATAATTCAGTTATTCCTGCTTTAAGGACAGTATTGGGGTTAGAGTTGCGTGCCAAGATATCATAAGTAGTTACATCAGGGCTATTTTTATCAGACCAATGTACTTTCAAATCACTGATCTGTACATCTTCGATCTCCTTGTCTACAAGTAATATAGTCTTAAGACTGCCCAATTTCATGTTGCAAACTGGAGCTTTATTCTTATCATAGGCTGTTTCAATTAATTCCGATTTTATGATCTCCAATAAGGAGATGAGTGAAGAAAAATTGAAAGACATGGGTAATAAAAACATGCTCATATTACACAAATTTGATCAAAAATTTAGATTAAAAATAAGTATTGTGGACAATCAGGTTATTGCTAAAATACACACTATAAAGTTCAATGACTCCGTATAGCCAGACATGCAAGTTTATGAAACAGATTACCCTCCCATGTTCTTATTCAATAAGTCCAATGCCCTAATGAGAATATAGGAAGTCGGCAATTCTTCAACTTGCCCATCAGTGTCAATAACTTTATTCATCTCTGATACATCTACCATCTTCTTTAACTGAAGTAAAAACATGTATTAAACAGTTATTATCACCCCTGGTTTTGGAGGGAAACCTTTTTCGATCAGGTTTCACTATCATAGAGATATTTATCAACAATTTATCATATTTCATCAGTTTCATCCATTTCATGCACCTTAATACATCCAATTAACAGGTAATATATGGCACATGCTCCTCCAATCAACATTGCCATTATAATTATAAATAGAATCGCTCCAGCCACTACGTTACTCTTTTCATCTGATTTCTTTGCTGTTTCATCATCTACTTTATCATCTGTCTTATTTGATGATATTTGTGATGTTTTGATGAATAAACCACCACCTATTTTGAATATTGGTTTTATGATTTCTTCAATAGTTTCATCTGTGATAATAACAGTGTCATTTCTACAACAGAATTCCAATATCCTTGTTTTATAATCACCTGTATCATTCCTGAATGTGAAATATGCCTGAAAACCATCATCTATTCCACTTTTGCATACTTCCATGAGAATATCTCTGGTATCCCAATATGATGGCTGATCTCTAGCCATTCGTAATATTTCATCTCTTATTGCCTGTATTGTGGTACAACAGATGTTTAAATCTGCATTCTTAATGTAATTGTATATTTGGTACCAGAGATATCCAGGCATTACATCAGTTAAATCACCTTTTTGTTTTTGAATTCTTTGCAATGCTGCCTTCTTCAGTCTATTGAAGTCTCCCGTATTCTTATTTGTCAGAAACGCAGCTACTTCTTTGAATGCTATTTGATCAGAATTCTTCTGTATGACATATTCTAGTGTTCTACTGAATACGATTATTGATTTGCGAATCATAGCGTGTACATTGTAACTTGATTCATTCTTGCTGCCTTTTTTAGACCAGTGAACTTCAAGTTTTCTCATTGTTGAATCACCTATTTTTGTGTCTTCAAGAACTAACCAGTTAAAACACGTTCTTTTTATATTATAGAACGTGGATAGATCATTCTGATACTTCTCCTCCAGTATTGTGGCAGCAAACACAATAAATAGGTGGATACTTGAATTTTTTGCACAAAGCATAGGGCTACCACCATAATTAAAATCACTAACGGAATCTATGAAGTAAAAGGTGTTGTAATCCACTCGTATACTTCAATATATGCCTTTATATCAGCAGATAGCTCAATAAATCAATTGTATTTCAAGTACCCTATTTATGCAGAAAACAAACATAGAGGAATACGACTACGTGATACTGGGAACTGGGCTATCTGAGTCAATTATATCGATGTTAATAGCAGAGAAAAGAAAGAAGGTGCTGGTAGTAGACAGATTTCAGTGCTATGGTTCTGAGTTTGCTACACTATCGTATGTGGAGTTATTGGAGCATTTTGGAATAAAAAGCAATGAAGTGGATCTGGTAACAAAAACAAGGGAATTTAACATAGATTTAACACCAAAACTGCTAATGAATGAATCAGACTTAAAGAACCTGATAGTGGAAAAGGAGATACATAAAATAGTGGGATTTTCAGCAGTAGTCGGATCATACTTATACAACAGTAAGTTGCATGTAATTCCAAGAAATGAAGCACAATCGATGCAATGTAGTGCAATTGGATTTATTCAGAAGACAAAGGTGGCACGCTTCTTCTACAACTTAAGACACGTAGCAAAAAGAGGATACGTTTATAAGAAGAGGATGATAGACGAATTCAACATGTTTGGCCTAGACAAGCTTGCAGTAGATTTCATAGGACACGGGATAGCAATGGAGGTCGATAACGAGTATCTGAAGAAATGTCCTAAAATAACGTATAACAAAATATTGCGTTATGTACAGTCAATTGTGTCGTACGATAACTCAGAAAGTCCATTCATTTATCCACATTACGGTCTGAGTGACATCTGTCAGGCATTTGTGAGAAAAGCTGCTTGTAATGGAGCTGAATTCATGATCAATACTAAAATTATGTGCATAAACACCCAGAACAACACAATCAACTTGATTGATCCAGATGGAAATGGCCATGAAATCAAATACGGCAAAATGGTAGCAGATCCATCATATTTCACACTAGACATCCTAGATTGCTGCAAATCTGTTGTATCCAAACGTATAATCAGGTGCATCATGATTCTTAAAAAGAACAAGAAGTATCTGGGATCCAGAAACATCACATTTCTACATAGCAGCCTTAATAGAAGCAATGACGTGTTTGTTGTTGTATTGGACAGCAAAACTAGGGCATGTCCACCTGAATACGAAATTGGAATTCTTTCTACTGTTCAGGAAACAGATAACCCTGAAGCAGAAATAGCACCAATATTATCCAAATTCGACACAATCAAACATTTTATCGAAATCAGAAATGTCTACGCTAATGATGACACTGAGAGTGTCATATTCACAACAGGAGTCAATGAGAACCCTATGATGGATGAAATCTATGACGATGTTCAAACTGTCCTAAAGAAGTTGGACATAAATTAGGCAATTTTTGTTCCTGCCCATGGAAAACAAAAAGACGTTTGTTGTAGTCGGAATGGCTGGATGTGGGAAGACAACCTTTGTTCAGAGACTCACCAGCTGGATTATGCAACATGAATCCAAAGAGCAGGCTAATCCAATCAAATCAATTGAACTAGTCAACTTGGATCCAGCAGTACTCAATACCAAAGTGCCGCCTACTATTGACATTCGAGACTACGTTGATTACAAAGACATTCTCATTCAGAACAATCTTGGATCAAATGGTGCCATTTCTGCCTGTTTAAACCTCTTCATGTTAAAAGGCATCAAATTGGACACCAAGAAATACACCATCATAGACACCCCTGGTCAAATTGAGTCATTCATTTATTCAGCACCAGGCGATATTGTCTTCAGCTCACTCACATCCCAACTTACCATTCTCTTTCTCATTGATCTCTCCGTCGATAGCCTCTATTCAGTTGTATCAAATCTGATTTTTGCTGGATCACTTGCTTCCAAATATAACACTATCATTGTATTCACCAAAAATGACGAATCAAAAATCCACGCCATTTCAGACTTGTTTGATTACGATAAGATGCGCAATGTAACTGCAACTGACGATCTCAGTGAAATTGGAACCCTTGTGACTTATTTTGAGGAGTTCTATAAAGACATTGAGTACGTCTCAATTAGTTCAGTTACTGGTGATGGAAAACACGAACTAATCAAGAAGTTGAAGTTGTTTTGAGATAGATCAATCTAATACTGTTTATATTCTACTCATCCAAATATACTCTCCTATACAGTTTCATTGCTATTTCATCACCGTGTCTAATCTGATCATCAAATTGAGCCTTAAACAGTCCCTTTGTTCCCAATGCTCTCTTTATTATCCCCTTATTTCCATTCTTGGACACCAGTCGTATTCTCCTGAAGTATTTCACCTGCTCTGCGTTACAAAACATCCCCTTTACAACCACGTGGTCCTTGAATATTTTCATGGGATACCCCACCAGTCTCTTTTCATTTAAAAACACCCTGTTTTCTAGAAAGCAGTCAAATAGCACCCTGAACCTGTTTTCATCTGAAACAACCATACACGCCCTATTGAAGAGTGTTACTGGTCCAATGAAACTCACAATGCCACTTTGTTGCCCACTGACAACCTTTTGTGCTCCCTTTCTTCCTTCTCCAGTTGTTATGCATTTTGTGCTGAATATTCGTATTCCATTATCCACTGTCATTTCACTGCATTTTATTCGCATATCACTGTATAAATAATTTAGCATTGTGGATTCTGTCTCATATTCATATAGATTGAATGCTATTATTCTATTGAAATCCACTTTCTTGTTGATCTTGATTTCAACAAGCTGATTGTCTTC